CCTCAAAGGCTTACCTTTATGCTCAAAACAAACTGAAAGTATCAATACCAGTCAAGAGTATCGATACTCCTGCAAAAGTTTCAATACTTTTTATAAGTATTAATACTTTTAAACATTCTATTCTACCTAGTTTCGAAACTTTTTGGGAGTTTCAAAACTATGACCTAAAGTTTTGATACTTTTACCCGGAAAACAAGATTTTACCCAGAAACGAAGAACAAGTAACGATACTAACCCAATAATATCAATACTCTAACTATAAAAGTCATAAAACAAGCACGGAAAACTCTATTTTTCAATCCCAAAGACCCTAGTGGGGTTCTCAAACATTCTTAAAGTCTTATGTGATATTAAGGGAGAATAAATAAGACTTAGAAACATGTTGAAAATATTAAACATAAAATCTACCATGGAAAGCTACTAAACATGTTTTATCTCGACTTTCTAGCTAAAACTCCTTTCCAATGATTCTACAACTGGTATGGAAAATCTAATAGTGTGTTACCTGGATTCTTTGGATACTAAAACCTCTCTCAACAACTAGGAATTCACCTTTCTTTTACCCTTGACTTTTGAACTATCTTTAACCTCTTTAACTAACAAGGTATAAAATGAGTTATTTACTCAACTAGAGACTGGATAAAACTTAAATACATTCTTATAACTATTCTTTGGATACTAAAACCTCTCTCAACAACTAGGAATTCACCTTTCTTTTACCCTTGACTTTTGAACTATCTTTAACCTCTTTCACTAACAAGGTATAAAAATGAGTTATTTACTCAACTAGAGACTGGATAAAACTTAAATACATTCCTTATAACTCAAATCCTTTCCTAAAATGGCTTGAATCACTTGATTCCTTAAAATCCATAAAAACCCATTTCAAAAATATTAACCAAAACCTAAGATTAATAGCTTGAAATGAAACTTGAGAGAAGAAGAATAAGACTCTTACCTTGGTGGATTCAAACTAAGCTTGAAATTCCTTAAAACTTAATATTGGCTAAGGAGAACAAATGAAGAAGAAGAGTCTGTAGAAGAAGAAAATTGGAAGATATTTTTACGGAATGACTCACGTGAAAAATAAGGGAGATAAGGGGTTCTTAACCTTTAAAACAAGCTACAGGTAAACTACACTTTTAGTCATTCTCCTTTTAACTCACTTTTAAAAACACCAATATCGTTTAACTATTAGGCCAACCTAAGGCCAATACCCTTTTTGAACTGGTCCAACTATCTTAAGAGGTAGAACTTGTTTGACTTATGGGTTTCGAGTTGACTCAAACTACTGATCCGGGTTTCGGGGCAATACAACGGTGAACAGCGTCTGCTCTCTGCGAACGACCATCAACCGTGGTGGTTCTTTAGAGAGAGAACTCTCTCTAAAAACATTTTAGAGAGCGGAAAAAGAATGAACAAGCCAAAATGGCTTCTGTAAGAATGAAATCAAAATAAATTCACGTGGTTATGAACTTTGGGGTAAACTATTCCCACACTCCTTCAAGTATTATAGGTAAATGCTTGTCATGGTCCCCCTATTTTTGATGGATTATTCAATTTAGTACATTTTCATCGTAGTTTTGATACTTAATTCTGATTTTTATTATTTTAGTTCCTGATTTATTTTTGTTCATAACTTACAGATTATATTCATTTCATTTCGATCCTCTTTGATTTTATTATTTATTTTACTTTTATTTTCATTTTATGTTATTGTTTTAATTTTACTAACATTTTTATTTTTTCAGGTTCTTTCCGTATTAATTTTTTCAATTGGTTTATTTATTTGTGTAATCTATTATTTATTTAACTTTTTATATCTTTGTTTTATTCATTCTGTCACTAAAATTATTTTATCTTTTTAGTTTAATAAATCTTACTTAGGGTCTAATTTGCATAAAAGTTTAGACTAACTTTTTACTTTCTTATTCTCATATTCTCAGGTTTTTTAGGACTCCATATATTTTATTATTTTAATTTAGTTAGTTTCAAATTAATTTATTCGGAAAATATTTATTTTGTTATCTATTTATTATTTCATTCTGGATGTTTGTTTTATTTTAAGATTGATTTATTAACTAATTTTTTGACATTTATTATCATTTATTTATTTATTTATTTTACTAATATATTTATTTTATTTTTTCAAGATATATATAAAAGAGATTAATTTCCTCTTAAGGGATAGTTAATTAAGTTTGCTAGTAAATTCTTGGTTCTTGTTTTTAATTTGTTTGATCAATTCTTTTTTTTTTTTTTTTCACTTCGAATTTTTGTTTTGCAGAGACTGATTCATTATTTCAATTTTAAGATTTATATTTGTCATCTTATTTCTACTAACATGATCGCCTTTTTTATTCTTCCTTACTCTAAATTAAATTGATTCTTAGTTTTATATTGTTGTTTTGTTTATTTATAATATTTTACTATTCACTATCAAATCTTATTTTCATTTTTTTCACAGAAATTTTCTTTTCTATTCGTTCTTAAGGGTTTTGAAGAGAGGTGACAGCATATTTTATTTCTAAGAGATCAGTAATTAAATTGAATTTGAATTTCTTTGAAGGCAACAACGTAATTGATTAGGTACTGAAAAGGCATTGTGGGGTGCTAATACTTTCCTACATGTAATCGCCCGGATTCATTTTTCTGGTAAGCATACTGACTTTTTTATTTTTATTTTGTTAAACTATCAAGTATTTTTTGGAGTTCCAGTCATACCTTAAAATGATTGGCGGTAACTCCATCTAACCACAATTCAATATTATTCTAAGCGAAACTTTAAAGCGAGGATCTGCTTGCCAGCCTTAAAGACGTTTCGAAATCATTAATATGTGTTCCACATGGAGTCTTATTTATGGAGATGACACTATAGCAAAATAGGTTTTTAGCGACGTTTTTTCAGTTATATAGCGACGTTTTTAAGTGCCACTGAAACAAATGCAGCAAAATGTAGCGACGTTTGTGAACGATTATGTTTTTTAGCAGTTTTTTTTTTACAAAAGCCACTGAAGGTAATAATATTTAGCAGCGTTTTTTACAAACGCCGCTAAAGGTTATGATATTTAGAAGTGTTTCTTCCAAACGCAACTATTTATCTTTTATTTTGTGGGGTTGTCTCAAAAATGCCGCTAAATATTTTGACATATAATGGCGTTTGTTCCCAAAAATACCGCTAAGTGTTATGTCATATAATGGTGTTTGTAAATGTAAAAATTGACTACGTATATAGTGGTGTTTTCTGTATAAATGCCGCAAAAGATCTCGAACTTTAGTGCATTTTTCAAAAACGTTGCTATGGACTATTAGTTAGTGGTGTTTTTTATACAAACGCCGCGAATTAAAATTAATTTTTTAAATGTTGTTTTCTACTCTTTTGTTAGCTACATTTAACCTATAACATTATTCAATAAACTTGACATCCCTAACAAGAAACTTGAAATCCATAATAATAAATCAAAGTTTACATATACATAAAATATAATGTAGTTCAATACTGTTAACTAGAATAAACAATAATAACACCTAAGATGGTGGACTCTGGGGTTGATTTTGTCGTATCATCTGCATCATAGCTTGAAGTTGATTTTGAAAGTCTTCACATTTTTTCTGATATGTTGTTTCTCTCTGCTTCAATTTCGACTCCATTTCGATATTCGTCGCTTACCCTTGACAAATCTATCAAACTCTTATCCATTTCGTATTTATGGATTATCAATTTCAAATGTTAATTGCTAATATTATAGAGAAAGTAAGCAACTAAACATAAGCATTACATTTAATTTCACAATTGAGAACATATCACAACAAACTAAAACTCACAACCAATATATCAAATAATTATCAAATAGATTATCTGGGTTAACAGTTAACTTGGAATGATAATGCATCTTAGAAACCTCTCGAGCATTCTCTCAGGATTTCAATAAATGGTCATCAATCTCATTCAAAGCCAACATCAAATTCACACTAGAAACGACCCTCACCACTCTCCTTTCACATCATGCATCTCCATAGCTATTGCCATTGTCATCGCTTATAAAGATTTATTATAAATCGATAACATTAATGATCAAATCGTTAGTTTTGAAATATCAATGAAGAAAAGAAAAACATTAATGACTATTTATTTAGTTTATCAAAGATTTCTTATAAATTGAGCATATACTGGAATAGGAACTGAAAATGGTTGTAATCATATGAAGTGATATGCAAGACTTCATCCATGAGGGAAACTGTTTTATTAACTCCGATTACCTCGTTCCTTTTGCAATGCTCAAGGGTAACCTCCTCGACTGCGACAGAGAGTTTTGCATTGATCTTTTCCATTTCATCCAGCTCTTTCAATAGAGGCTAAAAGGGGGAATCAAAATGTCAGCAAAGCACGTGAATTTTATCATGCAAAAGAAAGGCCGAGTAATGAGGCTATGATAATTAACAGAATCATTGTTCAAGTGGAAATGAAGGGAAAAATCGACACGGCTTTGCACATATAGTTGGACATACCCGAAGTGTCAATATTGGTTGTGTAGTTGTTGAAGATGCAAATAATAGTTGCTGCAAACTTTGACTCAGAGTGCACCTGCCACAATAAGGAAATACCAGATGCTCAAAATTCATCAAACACAAATCTAACTCAGAAAGTATTTTAAATGTGTTTCGAATAGTAATGTTGAAGAAAATTTCTAAAATACAAGCAAAATCTCATTTTAATCATGATTAAAATTTTATTTGGACAAGATAATATGAAGCAAAAACACAAGTAGTTGGAGAAAGTATCCAGTATTATAACCAATTTCCATCATCTTATTGAACTCTGCAATGAACCCATGTTCTCAACCATTCAATTCCACTAAATAAAATAAAATAAAAAACATAAAATCTCCTGTTTTGGTTTCTCCAAATCATGAATTATGTTTGTAAAGCTTCTTCCTATATTCTGCAGAATCCAGAAACATAAAACAACAATCAGACACATAAAACATTCAAAAATTGAAGCTATTATATTCAAACGAAAACAAAGGTACCTTCTTGATTGCTCGGAAGCTATGCTGCTTGGGTGTTCAAAGGTGAGCTGATGTTTGGTTCTGCATTTAAACAAAACCCCTCAAATCTCATACTAAAAATTCTAATTTTTTAAAGAAGAAGAAGCCAAAATAAATACCTCCGAGGAGACTTTGGATAGATAGCAGTATGGTTCTTACATCACAAGAAGATGACCATTTATCCTACAAACACAAACAATTATGCATCAAGGATTATTTATTTGTTTCCCCTGTAAACAAGAGACAGAAGATTGTTTCTAGTTTACCTGAAAAATTTCCAAGCAAATGTTGACATAGACATCGACATTCGGATGGAAACAGGCGGTCTCGAACTTAACCTTTGGGGGTTTAAAAGGGTATTCATTAGGGAATGCAAGAGATCGTTTGTATTCTTTTCCTTCAAAAACTGTGTCTTTGCTTCCTTTAATTGTTCCTTTCCAGCAAAATATGTTGTCCTCTACTGGGACTGTTGATATTCTAGGATCCCCACCCATCTATCATACATTAAAAAAATTTAGAACTAATTTCTTTTGTTTCGAAGAAGCAAAACATCAAACAGATTCAAGGCAGTATTAGAGTTCAATTCTTACCATCAAAGCCATCAATTCGGTTTGCAACCTGTTGACACCCAAAAAAAATAGAAAGAAAATCAAATCCACAAAATTAACTTCGATTTGACCTAGTTTAGAAACAAAATCCAATGCAAAGTAGTAAAAAAAAGAATTGGGAAAAACCTTTTAAGAATAGATTGAGAATCAACAGTCCTGGCGGTGGAGGTAAGCTGTTTTGATCCAGTGGTAGAGGGCACTAGTGTGTTTCCTGTGTACGCATTTGTCGTTGCCATTCTCTTCTCTTGCTTTACGAAGAATAACAAGAAAACAAGTCCACAAAGGGTTTTTTGAAAGAATCAAAATCAAAGGGCGAAATTCAATGGCTTCTCCTCAAACGAAGGAAAAATCTCATATTCTCCGCTTGGGTTAGCTGTATCGAATAACCCATTTTTGGAAGCAGACTTAGAAACTATAAACTTGAGGCGTTTGTAAACTCAAAAGCCACTAATATAATGAGAAATTGCGGCCTTTATTCAAAAAACACTATTAATGTATGAGTCTATAGTGGCGTTTGTTTAAAAGCGCTACTAAAATACATGTCTTTAGCGGTGTTTATCTAAAAAAACGCCACTAGCGTATGAGTATATAGTGGCGTTTGTCCAAAAACTCCATGCAGTACGAGTCTACAGCGGCGTTTGTCTAAAAACGCCACTAAAGTAATAGTCTATAGCGACGTTTTTCTAAAAACGCCACTAAAGTACGAGTCTATAACATCGTTTATCTAAAAATGCCACTAAAGTACTAGTCGTTAGCGGTGTTTGTTTAAAAACGCACTAAAGTATGATTTACCTATTTTTTTATATGAGCGCCACTAAAGTACGAGTCTATAGCGGTGTTTGCATAAAAACACCACTAAAGTACAGTCTTTATCGGCGTTTATATAAAAACGTAGCGGTATTTGTTAAAAAAAGTCGCTAAAAATGCCACTATAAACCCACTTTGCTATAGTGTGAGAAGGATCTCTTACCCTACTCAAGACGAGGGTATCAATACTGGCCTTATAATATCGATACTGATCTCTGGGGTATTAGTACCGATTCAGTATCGATACCGAAAAATAGCTTCGATTTTTTAAAATTAGTTGAGTATTAATACCCTTATTTAGGGTATCGATACACCCTTGAGTATCGATACCAAAATAGGCTACTAGAATTCTAAATCTGAAAACGGTATTAATACCACCTTGTAAGTATACCCGCAATATCGATACTCTGTGGATGAGTATCGATGCTTACCCTTCAAAAACTCCATTATTTCAAGCTAGTCGATGAACAATATTGGTACTGTTCTTTCAGTACTGATACTCAAACCCAAAAATGCAATGTTTTGGGCAGAAAAATGCAATCTAATCTTATATATTTACCCCCTTAAGGCCATTAGTTGATGTTAAGTCTTATGTATGTGTATAGGGGTCCCAAGAAGTCATTTTTCATGCTTAAAAACATAATACACTATGGACATGTTCAATATTTCATAAACTTATACTAACTAAGAAAATGTACTCAATGACCCAAAAATGGTATAGGAAGATTACAAATGTGTTACCTTGATGTTAAGATATAGAAAAAATGTCCCCAAATCAACCAAGGGTATCTTTTCCTTTGGTTTTGAAACCTTCTCCAATCTATCTCACTAACATGACATGGGAAAATAAGTTATTAACTTGATTAAAAGACCAAAATAAGTCTAAGAACACTTTCCTAAACTCTTCTTACCCAAAAAAATGAGCTAGAATACCTACATTTCTAACCCCTCATTAAACCTCCATCTATGGCTATTATGACTAAACCTTTAGATTGATGGCTTAAATGAAATCTTGAGGTGAGGAGATCATGATTCTTACTTTGTAAAATATGATATGTGGGTAAGAGTCTACAAGCTTCCACCTTTGGACAAAGTTTGGAAGACGAAAAATTATGAGAATGGTGAAGATGATGGTAGGGGACAAAGGAGGCTAAAATGAGGAAAAAGAAGAGCGGGTAAGTCACATTACATCGTCCCATTTATAAAAAACAAATTTTTGTTTAAAATAGGGTATAATATCCCTTTTAATCCTCCAACTTCCATTTAGATTTTAAAATGGACCTTATTTTTACCAATTGGGCCTAACACAAGCCTACTTCCACTCTTGACTTGGTCCAAGCTATTCTATAAGTCTATTGGGGACATTTTATTATTTTCAAGTTATCCCGAAATTACTAATTCAAGATTCGGGGCGTTACAATCCTTTGAATGTTCAAGCCTTCCTTGCATGTGTTTCCCGTAATGAAATTCCAGCATGCATTGTCTTTAGTTAAATTATCATATATCAATCTCCCGGTATCAGATTGATGTGATTCAAAAGGCGTTGGAAAGCTAAGAGATAGATAAATAACATCCAATTGATTTCAAGACCCAAATATATCTATATCACATCCAAAAATAGAAGACAAACTGGCTGGTATTCTTGATCGTTTTTCCATGCTTGGATTTGATATGATCATTCATCTCCCTTCATGCACCTAACCACAATAGTAGCAAATGTTCATGCTTGAATAAAATTAAGAAATAAGCATGCCATGTAAGCTTTAACCAATTCAAATTAACGAACTAGTTTAATTAATGAACTAGCTTATTGTATGAAAAAGCATTCTTAAATGAAGTAGCTTGCTTAAAGGAACTATATGCTAAATGAAGTACATACTTTGAATGAAGTAACATGTTTATTTATTCATGCAAATTTATGTCATGCAATCTATTAATACTCATGCAAATTCATGCACAATTAAAAGATGGAATAAGGAAGAACTCCCTTAGAATTAGCCTTGAAGATCTTCGATGACGGTGGAGGTTCTTTCTTCGGGTTGAAATACACCTTTATTGATTCGAACTTGCTTTGCTCACCTAGGATTAAACTAGGATGAGTTCTTTGAGATCTCTAAGAGGCTATCAATTTGTCTCAATCAAATGATATCGAAAAAGCTACTGAAAACTTAACAAGGTTTGTAGCCGTGCTCACATCAATCTTTGTCTCAACTTTTGGTCTGCCTCCTTTTGGTTTGCTTAAAATTTAATTAGAGATATTTTTGTCCCCCTTATAGATGCATAAAAACTGATGTACTGTTTATTGTCTCCTTTACCATTCAAAATAAATGTAGACAATGGGAAGAAATCATTTTCTTATCACTAACCCTTGAAGCCTTGTTTGTTACACCATAAATTATCAAATACAATTAATCATTTCCTTATTATCATGTAGAAGTAAAAAACAAATTTAATGTCTTTGTAGTTTGTACACACTATTATTTTTTGTCTATTAAAATTGTCTTTTTAATTTTTAATAATTAATATTTTTTTAAAATTTTGATTATAATTATTTTAAATAATAAAATTCTTTAAAATATATATTTAAAAACTATCTAATAAGGCTTTTGAATTATATTCTGATACACTTTTAGTAATAATAAATTTAAATAATAATAAGTTAAAATTAAAAAATTATCTTAAAATAGTCAATAAAGAATAATTTCAATGGGATAGAAGTGTTTAAACATACACAATATTATTATCTAAAAATACAACCAATTAACTTATCAAAATGTATACACAATCTAATTTAGATGGAAAAACGAAATTACACACGATGTTGTTATTTTTTATACATTGTTGAACTATTAAGATTTCACTCTACTTTAACCTAAACATTCACAGATTTACTATCTAAAATACAACCAACTTATCAAAAAATATGTATAGACATTTAGATGAAAAGCAAATTGACCGGAATTAATCCAATAAATTTCATGAACATGAGTAGTAAAAGTTGCACTAAATATCTGTAGTGCATAAGCTTGGAAAGATGCAAGTGTATTTAACAATGTGCACATAAAGTAGGCCTAAAAGTTCCATCCGAAATCATCCATGGAGCTCAAATCACGATACATTGCTGCCGACATGAGTGTGGATTCAAGAAGGCCAAGGTCTAAGCTATCACTCACCAATGAGGCATCCATCTCGTTTTCTATCACGCAAATCTTCTCCTTCTCTTGTTGCTGTTGTTGTCGTGCTTGTAGACCTTCAATTCTTGGTTCTTCAAATGTTTCAACGATGGCGTTAGCATCCCAAACGAAAGGATTTTCATACATGTTACCAAGACCAGGTAACTGATGAATTGACGAAGGAGATGAAGGAGAAACAAATATAGAATCCAATGATGAGCCATAAGGGTACATGGCGGACTCATTAAGATTCTGGGCGTAAGAAGCATTAGGGTTTTGGGGTTCAGAGCTCGGAATCTGCATTGCCATGGTTTGATTATTAGAAAATGTAGGAACAGGTATGTTCATCATCACCGTGCTGTTGGTATCTCTAGCCTGCGAATTGATGTTGAAAACAGTGAAGGAACTTTGATGTGATTGGGACGATGATGGATATCTGCATGCAACTTTGTTAGAGGCTCTTTGACGTAAAGAGAGAAGATTGTGTGTTTTGGGGTCCAAGCCTTGGGAAATCAGTTTTTTCTTAATGCAAGAGTTCCAGAAGTTCTTCACTTCATTGTCTGTTCTTCCAGGAAGATGCTTGGCTATCTGAGCCCATCTGTTCACAAAATGTTTTTAAAGGGTCAAAATTTGACGTATTCAAAGGCATAAACGAATCCCTAGGTACCTGTTGCCTAAAATTCTATGAACATCAATGATTATCTGCTCTTCATCAGCAGTGAAGGAGCCCCTCTTCAAGTCTGGTTGCAAGTAGTTAATCCATCTCAATCTGCAGCTCTTCCCACACCTGCGCAAGCCTGCAAAATAACAACCCTTATGCATTATCGATGTCTAAAAAAGATTATGAATAGATACTAACTCGAGATTACACCATACTATTTAAAAAAAAACACCTAAAAGTTGAATGAATTGACAACCATTTTCACATGTTAAAATTTGAATGATTCCTTGAGAAGAATATATACCAGCAAGTTTAGGCACAGAGCTCCAACTTCCATGGCCATGTTGAGTGATGTGTTTGACGAGCTTGTCGTCTTCTTCAGGAGACCATAAACCTCTTTTAATCTTGAGTTTGGTGCAGCAGCGATGGCCCATAACCTTTGCCTGAAATCAACTCATCAGCCTTGCACTCCAATTAAGAGGGTTCCGATTACTATTTAAAGGGACACCTTTTCTCATAGAGAGAAGGAGATTAGTAATGTGGAAAGGTATATGAGAAAAGGTCCTCTCAAGTATGGAAAGGTCTATGGAATTGGTCTCTGTTGTTGAAGATAATTAACATCGTGACATGATTAAGGGACTCATACGGTCCCACCTCGTTGATATATTAAACCCGAAACAATGTTTGGAGTATAAAACTGGGTCACTTATTCCCCTCCCTTTTTTTCTTTTGGCGATATTGACACTCCTTACTTCACTTGTTCCTCACTCTTTGTTCTTAAAACATAATCATCTCAAGCGTTAAGAGTTTTTTTAAGGGAGGAGAATGGATGGATCCATATACCTATTAATTTAAATTAGATATTATAAAGTTTGATTAGAATAATTTATATACTTAATTTATTTCATTCATAATTAATTTGAACACATAAATTAACTAATTTAATTTTACATTTGAATATAAATATATTTTTATTAATTTTAATCTACGATACTTTTAAAAAATAAAAACAGTTTATATGAGTTTTTATCCATACATTGCACAACCTAAGGAGTTAAGTCATTATAATATTATCATTGTTATATCGGTCTAAATAAAAATAAAAATTTTCATTTGACACCTCTTTTCTCACTTAAATTGTGAGTTTAATACCTATTAAAACTGAATTTTTTTTTCTCCTTTCTCTAAATAAGAATTGTTCAAGAACAATTTTGCTGGTAAATTGATATGAAATTAAAAAATAACAGTTTATATTAAAAATTTATGGTTATCTGTTTCAATGATAGTATATTTCAGATTTGAATATGAAACTAATTAAAGAATTGTCTTAAAATTATACTTTTACATTTTAAATATTATTTTTTTTATTTTCGGGTTTTTTTTTAATTTCCTGATTAGTCTATTAGAGATGTTTGTATGGCAACTGAAGTTGGATTCTATTTTTTTCTTAGGTTAGGTGGGTAAATAGTCTACTATGTTAGTGATTTTTATTAAGGCATATCATTGATGATAGTAAATTCATTAAGTGGTTTTAGTGGTAAAAAAATATTATTTTTTAAAGATTTTGAATTCGAACAGTTATGTGAGTGTGTGTACGTTGTCAATTGACTATAAAAATCTAAATAAATACTATCTTATAATCATCCCAGACTATTAAAAGAACATTGATAATAATAAAAAGTTTAAAAATAATATAAGAAGGAAGACTATAATTTAACAAGTATATAAAACTTAATACAACCGAAAAAGTTTCCCCCAATCGTCAAATAGAAAATAAAGTGTAAGAGGAATTATTTTTGCCAATATAGTTTTTTAGTGTATCGGAATTGGGTAATCCATCGTCCATCTGAACTTCCAAAATGGGTAAAACAACAGAAGTCCGACAAACCGACAATCATAGAAAAGAAATGTGCTGTAATTTTAACTTAAGGTTCACTCACCTAAATAATTATAAATGGGGCAAGTAATTTAGTCATACATACCATAAATTAATAATTAAATATTGTCTTAAAGTTAAGAAATTTGGCCAAAAAAGTAAAACATAATTATTTTTTACAAGAAAACTATAATAGTTTTTTATTGAGTGATATTTTACTGCAAGATGAATCATAAAACCCCTAAAGACTTAGTTTTTCTCTCATTCGTATGTCGCTCATCTCTTTTCTTTTTCATCTTTGTTGACCTGTGGCTGCATTAATTTTAATGTTGATTGTTGACTGCCGATATTCTTTATTTTTTTTTTCTATATCATATCTTTATTTTCTTTTGTTTTTAGATTTTCAATAAGTTTACCTATGTTGCAAGTTTTCATCGACCTTTATGACACGTTTCTTATGTTTGTTTTTGCATTTATTCAGTTTTTTGGCCGTTTTTATTTATCTCTTTTCTAAGTGTTGATTTGGCATCGTCACTACTGATCAAGATGGTGCTTATCTTATATCTTTTGATCTTCTCTGCTTTGAACCCTCAAATTAGATTTAGATGCCTGATTTGCGTTCGTGACTAGCTTTCCACTTCGCTTGAGTCTGATTTGCGATTTGTCGGTGGTCTTTCAATAGTTTGATCATCTTTTGTGGTTTATTTGCCAATGCGATCAGATATGTTTGTATCTATTTTTGTTTGAGATTCTTGGTTAGATTTAATCTTTCCTTGTATGGTCCTTATGTGATATTAAGTTACTAGTTTTGTTTCAATGATTATATAAAAGTTTCCTAATTATGTGCTTAATTTACAATTGTGGTTGTAAATCTTTATTATAATTTCAGATATTTCCTATTTTGAATAAAATTAGTTGTTTCTATAAAAAAAGCTAAAAAGTGATGTTATTATGTTAGTTAATTTTTTCATATTTTATTTCCATTTACAGATAAAATCATAAAGTTCAGTTTCTGTAATTGAGGGTTATCTCTATTTACTTTATTGAATTAATTTTATATTATGAATTTCATTTTAAGTTAGCATAATATAACATAATCTAATAATCTCTTCATTATATGTTAAGAGAACAAAGCAAGAAGACATGAAATTATTTGTTTAAGATCAAAGGGTGAAAGGGCTGAAGTTGGACCTGGTCATACTCGACTAATCTTTTAAGTGCTCTATCTTAGATTTATAAATTTGTTGGTTCTGGTTGATTTCAAATGGGAATTAATCTGTAAATAGTCAATTTGTTCATTTTATGTTATTTTTTTGGGTTAACTTTTTATTTAGATTATTTTGAATTATTAAATCATCTATATTTTGAATCGTTTGAGTTTAAGATTACATTTTTTTAAATTGAGTCATTTCGGGTTCTAATTAATTTAGGTTAAGTTTATTTTGAGTTAATTTGTTTGAGTCATTCGAATTTGAATTATTTTGTGTTTGAGTTATTTTGATTCAGGTAATTCCATGATCGATTTGTTTCAAATTCAATTTAATTTGAGATGAATCGATTCATGTTTAAATCATTAACATTTTACAATCAAATCGAGTAGAGTTGAATGTAAAGTTAGATAGGATAAATCAAATTTTGAAATTCAAGTTAGACTTAATGAACTCAACCTATAAATTTATTTCCCTTATTTTGTAACGTTAATTGTTTGTTATCAACGATTTTTATCTACGTAGAGATCTTTTACCCAGAAATGAAACATTGAAATGAAACATCAGAAGCTAAAATAAGTCCAAGAAAATAAAAGTTAAACTATTTATTTTGGTAAATATTGAAGGTTAATTTTAGTATTATGTCTAAATTTTATCCTATTAAACTTTCAAGTGGGCTAATAAATATTAGTTATAAATTTTATTATTAAAAAGGAAAGGGAAAAATGACTAATTGGAAGTCCATCAAATCAAAACAAGTATCATTTACAATTGATTTCATGATAAGTACGAGGAGAGTACAGAAGAAGTTGAAGAAAATTAGAGGACGTTTGTGGCATTCGATAAGGGTAAGTGATGGGGTGGGGCAATTTCTTATGCTCGTTATTTCTTCGAGTTTGGAATAACTTATTGACAATAAGTTAAGATGATAGTTATAAGAAAGAAACTAACAACATTAACAAAATCCACATTACTTGTTTCATCAATTCCTTTCTGTACTTTAACCCACTAATCACTTATATTTTTCCTTGAGCAACCGCTCAGGGCCTATTTTTTTATAGGGTCTTTAATTTTTTTATTATATTTTTATTTTTATAATTGAATTCTTTCTTTAATTTTATTTTTTTTCTTTATAATTGGGGGCTCTCATTTTTTTAATCATACTTTTTATTTTTATAATTGAGGGCTCTCTTTTTTGTAATCCTATTTTTTATCTTTATAATTGAGACCCTTAATTTTTTCAATCCTACTTTTTTATGTTTATAACTGATGGCCCTAATTTTTTCAATCTCACTTTATACATTTATAATTGAGCTCATATGCTTTTCAATCTCACTTTATATCTTTATAATTGAGCCCTAATTTTTTCAATCTAACTTTTTACCTTTAAAATTGGGATTCTTATTTTTTTAATTTCACTTTTCACCTTTATAATTGAGGTCCCTAATTTTTTCAATCATACTTTTTCACTTTTATAGTTTAAGTCCCTAATTTAATAATTTTTCTACGATTTATTAAAGTAATATTAAATTAATTGTTCAAAGTAATAGAAAATACTTTCATTTTATAAAAGCCTGGATTTTAATTTCGTCCAATGCCCAAAAATATTCTAGACAACTCTGAATATATCGTGATATGTGTTTAAAAACTCAATTATTTGACAATAAACATTCACACTCCTTACATTCGCGATGTTCGAACCCAAAATCTTACGGAATAACAACAAGTCTCTTAACTACTAATGTCGCTTGATTCGTGCTCCTGTTTCTATATGTTTAATACCAATGAATTGAGCAATCTTACCCATGCTTACTTGTTTTATTTCTTCCATTTTATTTTATTGATAATTTGATCCCACTAAATTTGAATATCGTTCAAATTAAGTTTTATACTTAAATCAATTTTTATATTTAAATACCGAGTAATTTCGATCTTAAAAATTCCATTTAAATTAAATCCTATAATGAGACCTAAATTTGAATCTCCAAAGATCATAAAGATTTTTTTACTACTAAAAGAAAGCCCCGTTATGGTAACTGTCGCAACCGTCTTTCGGTTGGGCCCCGAAATTGGGCTTCGACTTGAAAAATGTGGATTGGAGTCGCCACCGATCATTTATTTAAAGATAAATGGGTTGATCGGATACCCTCTTTCTTACCTGATCTGCGTCTTACCAGAAATATGTCGGGCTCGGGAGTCGGTTACGGTCAAGGAAGGATTAGCACTCTTGAACCGCCCTTTCGGTACTACGTAATTTCCAGTTGTCTTAATTAAGAAAAATAACAAGTTAAATTAAAAGATAAAATAATGATCCAAAATTACTTACCTTTGACGGATTTACAAATATACCCTTTAAAAGTCAAAATATGGGTTAGAAGAGATGAATAAATGATAAATAAAGTAAAAAAAATAAAATAAGGAGATTAAGTAAGAAATAAAGTAAATATAAAATGAATAGAATATATAAAATAAAAAACAATAACACTAATATATGCACAACAA